TGCAAGTGCCTGGAGAAGCGTCCTGAGCTACAACCAGAAGAGCTATTTCCTTCCACGTTTTAGTAGGAAATCCTTTGTTTTCTCTATACATACTGTTGACTATTAGAACTTTCCTTGTAGCTTTTCTCCATGCATATGTTTGAATTTTTTTTAAAAAGGAAGGAAGGAAAAGGAGGGAAGCCAGCCAGCCAGCATCTCTGGTTTCTTCTAAGAATGCATCCAGACTCCCCTCTGGCCCCTTCGGACCCTCCAGCTGTTAAGAGCGGGAGCCTCCTAAGGCCCAGGACTCCAAATGCCCACCGTTTCTGCCTAATGAAAGCTGTTCCCACAAAGCAGCGTTACCCACCACCCACCCCCAACTCAGTGCAGTGCCCACAGCACAGTGGACAACAAAATGTGTCGGATTAACCAGTGAACTTGACACTGCAGCACCATTAGAATCTGGACCTCTAGCTTCCACCTCAGCCCAGCTTGCCCTTTCCTCCCAGCAGAACCTGAACCAAGTCCTGGCATGTCTGGCCTTCCCGTGAAAAGCCAGGGCAACACCAGGCAGGGAGGAGCTAAGGCTGGCAGCCTCCTTCTGGAGGTTGAAGCAGAACAGATACAAAATGCGGGAGCAAGAGGAAGGCGCCCGGGGCCCAAGAACAGGTGGGGCTGTGTCCCAAGGGCCTCCCTTGGCTGCCTGTTCAGTGGCGTCACCAAGCTGGCTCGGCGATCGCCAAGGAAGACAGGAGTGCTTTCCACTCCGTGGCCCTCTCTAGTCCCCCTCCAGTTCTGCCTGCTTAGCCTATCCAATGCCTCCACCACCTGCCCACGGCTGGCGAAGGGCTCCCAGGCCTGCCCAGGACCCACTCCAGGGACCCAGCCTCAAGCTTCCTGGCAGCCAGCTGCTTCCTCCTGGCCCCTCCCCCACTGTGATACAAATGACACCAACTGGACTTTAGACAGAAACCTTGCTTATCGGGGAGTCCCAGGCGGACAAACTCGGGGTTTTCAATGTCCGGAAACCCCCAAAAGGCCTCCACTCATCACTCCCCACAACTTCTGCCCAACACGGACACCTCTTCCCCATTACATTTGCGGTGGTCACCCAGGTCCTTCCTGAGCCTCTGACAAGGAAGCAGGTTTGAGTTTAAAGATTCCCAGGGTCTCCTCGATGTGGATACAAGCCCCAGTATTCTGAGTCTAGCATGTAAAATGTGTGCTGCATTTCAGGCTACCTTTGGCCTGGGGGTAGTTTCAGCTCTTTCTATGACAACTGCGCCAAGCCCCTTGCTTATGCATGGAGGCAGCATGGGGCCAACAACCAAGGCCACAAATCCTATAATACCAGTGTGAAAGACCTCCAGGATGCATTAAATAAAATAAATAATGCAATCAAGTATATCCATCGTTTTTTGTGCAAGAAAAGGGAGAGAAACAGCCAGGCATGATGGTTCATGCCTGTAATCCCAGGCCTCAGAGGCTGAGGCAGGAGGATAACTCCAAGTTTGAGGTCAGCCTGGGATACATAGTGAGTTCAGGACCAGCCTGATCTACTACACAGGGAGACCCTGTCTCAAAATGCCAAAATAAATAAATAAAACCACAGCACCTCCACCCCAAACCAGAACAAGGTGGGAGACCTCAGACAAGCCCTAATCACAAAGCAGCTTAAGTGAAACTTCACAAGGTGAAGGGATCCAGAGCCAGGGAAGACTAACACACAGAATCCCACTGCCACTTCTGTCCCATTTCCAGCTGTTGTCACTCACCAGTTTCTAGTTTCAAGGGAACAATTCTTTTCCAGAGTAGAGAGGGAAAAGTACAAATGACTCAGCCATGTATACTTCTGAGTCAAGTCTGTCCCTACATAGCCAGTCATTTCATGTTTATAAGATCTCAGCCAGGAGCAGGAAATACCAAGATGAAGACTGACCCAGACACGGGGCAGCATTTCCCCCCACCTGGGTTGCCCTCTGTGGGGACCCCACACTGCAGGAAGCAGCAGAGAAGAAAAGCCTGTGTTCCAACCTAGGTTTCTTCCTCCCTGAGTTCACACCAGAACTTGACCCAACCACTGGCCACTGACATAGTGCTGAGTAGAATTCCTCTCCTGCCTGGGAAACAGCTGAACTGTTTCTAAATACAGGTTCTCTAGGAACAAAAATACCCGGCTCTATCGGTCACAACTTTTACTCTTCCCAAGCTCAGTGTTCCAGGGTCTCTAGGTCACTGCCTCAGCAGGGTCAGGCCTTGCTCCACACTAAGGTCCCCAGGCTGGTGTTGGGCCTTTGCTTGACTGGTCCATGCCATCTTGCCCTTTCCCCTTCCTCCCTGAGAGCAGACCCCACTGAGGAGCAGCCCCAGACAGATGGGGGAACTCACAGACAACCTGTATATGCACCACACTCCCAGAGGCAGAGGACTGGCTAGATACCCAGAAAGAGTTTTATACTTTCCCCATTTGGAATCTCCCTGCTTCCTTTGACCTACTCTACTAGGAAAAGCATTCTTTCATTCTCGAAAACTCTAAAGGGATAATAGCTGCCCAATAATAGTCCCTTCACGTGGGACACAAGGTAGCTCTTATCCCCACAGGAGGGGAGGACAGAGATTATTACTCGTTTTGCAATGAAAGGACCCAACTAGTAGCCTAAGGTCACAAACAAGGCAGAGCCAGTCCCAAGTGGGATGGCTGCCCCCACTGCCATCCTCATATGCATTAACCAAATCAGTGCCCTCCCCTCGGTCCACCTTGATTTAAAATTCACAAAGTCCACTCCTCTGCTCATCACTTCCCGGGTCCCATGGTCCTAACAAGCTAATCCAACATCACCTCTGGCTCCCTCTGAAACACTGTTGCTTGGTCCCCGAAGACACTCTCGGGCTCCAAAGAGTGCTATCAATCCTTTCAGTGCCAGAATGTGGTTATTGTGAGATTACTGCAAATCATGTTGGAAATTGGAGAGAGAAGAAGGAAGAAGCAGGTGGAAGGAAGCAGTTCCGGGAAGTTTATACACTTGCCATCTACTGTCTCTGGTATTTATACTGCCACTGACCAAACCTGTTAGTCACTGACCTCACAGAAACTTTTGGGTTTGGAAGAGGAAATAACTCTCACAAGACAAGGATTAAGGTTTGCGGTACTGAGTACCAAAAGACGGGACAGAACCAAACCCAAACAATGACTATGGGCGTCACTAGCATTTCTAAGGTATCAGCAGAAGTAAAATAGGTGAGGAGTAGGAAAAGGGAAATGGAAGAAAAAGGAAAGTGGATGAATAGAGTAAGAGAGAGAAGAGAGAGAAGGAAGAGCATGGTGGGGAAGAAATTTTTTAAGTAAGCCAGGAGATTCCAAAGCAGTATCTCAAACAGTTCCTCTGCCAGGGGGTCCTGAGATACAGGGCCCAGGAGGGGAAAAGCAAAGCAAATCAGGATTCCTTTGTTCCACTCCCAGGCCCATTTCCTGTCAGCCTGGAAAAGCCATTTCCCTCTTAGACCTGTTTCCTCATCTGTACAGTGTAGAGAATAATTTTGCTGGCCCTGTCCCCGCAAAGGGCCTAAATTTTTATGATAAAGGACAAATGACTGACCTATCCAACTAGGGCAGAGAATCTACATTTTTCTGCTCTTCAAAAACTGTCTTCTTGGGCCAGGGATTTAGCTCAGTGGTTCTGCTGCCTACCTTGCAAGCTCAAGGTCCCAAGTTCAATCCCCGGTACCAAAAAAAAACCCACTTTGTCTTCTCTCTGGGCATGGTAGCACATGCCTGTAATCCCAGCACTCATGAGGCTGAGGCAGGAGGATTGCAGGGAGGCCAGCCTGGGCTGCATAGTGAGTTCAAGGCCAGCCTGAACTGCATAGCAAGACTGTGTCTCAAAATAACAAAAGGAAAAGGAAAAAAACCCTGCCTTTTGTAGAAGATATCAATACTGATTGTAACTGTTCGTGTCTCTTAACACTTCCTAAAACATGAACCTTGCAAGAAATGGAAAATCATACAGACTAAGGTAACTACACACACGTCTGTGTGCACTGACAAGAATCACAGAATACACAAGGCCCTGGGTTTGATCCCCACACCACAGAAGTTTTAAAAATCAGACATAAACATACAGGTGCTGACACAAGTTGACTAAGGCTCAAGCCAACCAACTACAAAATCAGCCCCACACAAACACATTTAGAGTCACAGGCAAGCCCCAGCAAGTATCCCACATTGTTCCTCAGGAAAGGGAGTTTACAGAGGAAACAAAAACTCTCACACCCAGCCAAGGGGTAGGGCACAGTTCTGGCTCGGAGGAAAATACAGCCAACCAACAGCCACATCCTCCCCTAGGAAAGAGTCACTCAGTCAACATTTACTAAGGATTCCTTGGTAGTTACTGTAGAAAGGAATTTTGGATGCTGAGCCCTAGGAAATTTCAGCTTTCAACTTCATTTCCTCTTCAGGCTCTGCACCCAGACACTTTTTCCAGAGATTCAGAGGAGCTAGAGACTCCTGCAAAAGCCAGAGAAGACTTCCATTCCCCCTACCTCCATTGCCTTTCCTCCGAGGGCCCAGAAGGAGCCTGGGCAGCCCGGAGGTGAGAAGCTCAAGGCTTCTCTTGGCGGTTTGTGGACAGTGGATGGGCAAGACGGCCCTTCCCAGGCGCGGGGAGGAAGATGGCTAGGTAGAAGTATGTGGGCGAGAAGGGTCCTGCGCCCGCAGACCTGCACCTGAGGCTGAGGACGGGGCCGAGAGGAACCAGCCCTCCCAGTCATTCCAGGAGACTGGGGAGAAAGAGCAGCTCCGGACCTGGAGTGAGGGGGAGGGTCACAGCTCCCGGGCGGAGGGCACGGAGCCAGCCGCTCTCGGGGCGGGGGAGGGGCAGGAGGGACGAGCCCGGGCGCAGAGGCTCGGAGGAGCGGCTGCCAGGTTTCTCAACTCCACCCTCCCGTGGGCGAGGCGAGGGGAGCGCCCTGCTCCAACCTCGGACCCGACCCACCGATTCCTCCCCGAAACTCCGGGAACTTACATAGGTTCGCCAGTGTAAAGAGAAGCAAATGTTTCCTCCCAGTTTCCGCCTTTGTCCCCATCCCGATTAGGATCCCGAGGAGACGACCTCGGCCAGACCTCCGGGAACAGCTTCGGGAACTGCAGCCAAGCAGGACTGAACTCCAGCCCCAGGTTGAGCCCCGCCCGGCCCGCCCTGCCCACCCTCCCGGATTGGTCGGAGCCCCGCCCCTGCACCTGCTGATTGGTCAAGGGAGCCGCCGCTTGGCCGAGTAACTCACCGTAGCCAGGTGCAACCCCTCCCATTACTACTTCTGCTGCAGGCGCCTCTGATTGGCCCAGGACACTGTCCCGTAAGAAACGAATTCCTCACCTTCGGCAGGTAAGGGCCCCCTGATTGGTCGGTGGTCCTGAAGTAGGGACTTTCCGACTGGCTGAGTTCTAAATTGAAGCTAGAGAACCTGCCAGGAAGTAGTAAAAGGTAGACGCTCTCTGGGACTCAGAATGATCTTGCTTTGGGTAGTTTGTTTTGAGGTACTGGGAGTTGAACCCAAGATTCTTTGCACTGAGCTAGCTCTCCAGCCTTTTTTTTTTTTTTTTTTTTGAGACAAAATTTCACTAAATCGCTAAATTGCCCTGGCTGGGCTCGAATTTCCGATCATCCTGCTTCAGCCACCCAAAATGCTGGAATTACAGGCTTGTGCCACCACGTCCGGCGGTTGGTTGGTTTCATAGCAGGTTTGAATGTAAATTGCTTGGTGCTATAGAAACCTTAGATCCCTCGGCAAGTGAAAAGCTGGGAGCCCTTCGCCAGCCATGGGCAGGTGGTGGAGGCATTGGATAGGCTAAGCAGGCAGAACTGGAGGGGGACTAGAGAGGGCCACGGAGTGGAAAGCACTCCTGTCTTCCCTGGCGATCGCCGAGCCAGCTTGGTGACGCCACTGAACAGGCAGCCAAGGGAGGCCCTTGGGACACAGCCCCACCTGTTCTTGGGCCCCGGGCGCCTTCCTCTTGCTCCCGCATTTTGTATCTGTTCTGCTTCAACCTCCAGAAGGAGGCTGCCAGCCTTAGCTCCTCCCTGCCTGGTGTTGCCCTGGCTTTTCACGGGAAGGCCAGACATGCCAGGACTTGGTTCAGGTTCTGCTGGGAGGAAAGGGCAAGCTGGGCTGAGGTGGAAGCTAGAGGTCCAGATTCTAGTGGTGCTGCAGTGTCAAGTTCACTGGTTAATCCGACACATTTTGTTGTCCACTGTGCTGTGGGCACTGCACTGAGTTGGGGGTGGGTGGTGGGTAACGCTGCTTTGTGGGAACAGCTTTCATTAGGCAGAAACGGTGGGCATTTGGAGTCCTGGGCCTTAGGAGGCTCCCGCTCTTAACAGCTGGAGGGTCCGAAGGGGCCAGAGGGGAGTCTGGATGCATTGAGCCCCTCTCCAAGCCCTTGTCTCCCACTCTGTAGTCCTAAACTTAACTCTGCATATAAATTTCCCCAAGACTTTAAGCTCCTTGGTGGAGGGCAGGAGGGGAAAGGGATTTAAAAAGAATTATGATGTGTTACACATATGTGCCAACTCCCCACAACGAATGTAATCATGTACTGCAAAGATGTACTAATAAAAATTAAATTTTTTTTTAGAAGTTCCTTTGGCGGTAAAAAACAGAACTTTGCACTTGGCAGTCACCCAAATACTTGTTAGAATTTAGCAATATGAAGTTTCTCTTTGGGGTACACATTGCCTCCTTTCCTGTATTAGTCTTAGAAGTAGCTTGTAAACCATTAAGTCAAGGTTTGTGTTTTATATTTATTTGTTATTTCCCAGCAGCACCCAGTATGTGCTTGATAAACATTGCTTTAAATAATAGAACCGGAAGCCAAAACTTTGGCTAGTGAGATGTGGAGAAAGGAATGAAACTTGCAATGTGGCAGAGAGGAAAGAGGCAAAAGGTTAAAAAAAATGTTTCGATAAGTGTGGACTTTTTTTTTCTTTCTTGGTACCAGGGATTGAACTGGGGTCCTTGAGCTTGCGCAGCAGGTGGCAAAACCACTGAGCTAAATCCCCTGCTCAAGTATGGACTTTTAACTTGAATTGAGAACTCTTTTCAAATAGTTCTTTTCCACAGGCAACTTGGATATACTTAGCAGAGCTGAAGTTAAATAACTGTAAAATAGAAACAACAAATAGCGAAGGAGCTGAGAATGAATTTCAATTAAACGTTATGTGGAACGAGCTGAGGATGAATTTCAATTAAATGTTATGTGGCGGAGTGTGGTGCCTCGCCTCTAACTCCAGTCTGGGCAAGATCACAAGTTCGGGCCCAGCCTGGCCAATTAAGTGAGACCCTGTCTAAAAATGCAAAAAGGACCAGGGATGTAGCTCTGGGCGAAGGACTTGGATTCAATTCCCAGAACTGGAATCAAACAAACAAAACATCAATTAAGTATTATATAACAGACAGGGCAGTCTATACAAGGAAGGAGGCTTAGCCCCTAACATTAGTCCCAGAAGGTGAGTAATTCTCAAGGATAAGGTCCTGCTGTTAGCTCAAATGGAAGTAAAGGACACATCCACAGTCACCAGAGAAGTTTGCGGGGCATGTGTGAATCGGTTTCTACTATTGAGGTATTTCGTGTACGCCTGTTTAAAGTTCTTTTTAGATACTGTAATCCTGCTCCCTCAGGCGTTATTTTCCCTTTCCTCCTTGTTGGGGATTTAGCTCAGCGGCACCGCGCTTGCCTTGCAAGCGCAAGGTCCTAAGTTTGATCCCCGATACAAAAACAAAAAACAAAAAAACCCCTTTCCTCCTCTACCTCAGTTCATACCTATCAAAGCCAGTGAAGGCTGCTAGCGAGGCGAACAGTAGAACACAGTTTGGAGGTGGTGCCCAGGTATCTTTCCACTTCTCTCCCAGTCCTATGCCATTCCCATATTAATATGAGTTTTTGGTTGGTTCCTTTTCTGGTTTTAGAATCAGAGTAATGCTTGATTCCAGGAATGACTTTGGGATTACTGCTTTCCTTTTGATTTCATTAAAGAGTTGGAAGAGTATTGGCATTAGATCTTCTCTAAAGTTCTTGTCGAATTTAGCAGTGAATTTGTCAGGACCTGGACTTGTCTTTGTTGGCAGTTTATTATTTACTTCTTCAGCCAGGTGTAACTCCACCAGTCCAGAGGCTGAGACAGAAAGATCACCATGATGAGTTTGAGGCCACCCTAGGCTATGTGATATGTTCAAAAGGCCAGCCTGATTGAAATAATTCAACCTTGACTCAAAAAAAAAAAAAAAAAAGCTATTTAATTACTTCTTCAATTTCATTGCCTGATATTAGATTATCCAAGATTTCTGTATCTTCTTGGTTCATCTTTGGTAGTTCATTTGTATCTAGGAATCTATCGATTTCTTCTGAACTTTCCATTTTACTAGAGTACAGATTCTCAAAGTAGTTACCAATGATCTTGTGGATTTTAGCAGAATCCGTTATGATTTCATTTCCCCCTTTTCATTTCTATTATATAAATTTGGGTCTTTTTTTCTTTTTTCTTTTTTTTTTTTTGAGACAAGGTTGTTTCTGGGTAGTTTCTTCTAAAAGTGGCTCACCAGAGACCCCAGAGTGCATCCCATGGGTCACAGCACCGTACAATTAATGTTTAAAGATTCAGTGTTACATAAGGAAGAAACCTTAAACAGGAAGAGTAAAGAAAAGGAGTTAAAAATGGCTGTTATTCAGGGTCTGTTGACATTCAGGGATGTGGCCATAGAATTCTCCCAGAAGTGGAAAGGCCTAGACCCTGCTCAGGAGACGTTATACAGGGACATGATGTTGGCGAACTACAGGAACCTGGTCTCCCTGGGAATCTCTCCTTTTCACCTGAGTGTTGTCTTCATGTTGGAGCAAGGAGGAAAGCCCTGGAGTGTGGATGGCCAAGTGAAATTAGCTAGAAATGTGTCAAAGGTGTGAACACAGGAATTTCCACCAAAATGGAAAAATGATACAAGAGAAATGTCCCAAACAGTAATGTTGGAAAGACATAAAAACCATGGCAATGAAGAACTGTGAAGAAATCCAAATATACATGACTTTGAGTGTCATTGCAGCAAAGATGAGAGACTAGACACAGGATTCTGTGTGACTCATAAGAAAAATCTCACTGGTAGAAGAGATGAACATGGTAGAAGAGATATAGGAATGAAACATATTAAGATTTGGCTTGGAGTAAACTTTCAATCAAGTCCGAATGAACAGCAAATATTTGAAAGAGAAAGGAACACTTATGAGTGGAATTACAGTGAGCAATCTCAACAATGATTCCTCAGTTTTATTCCACCAACGAACTCCTTCTAGTGTCAAAACAAACATTTCTCATGAATATGAAAAAGATTTTATTGCTTCTTTATTTTTCATACAAGAACCAGTGGCACACATTAGTGCAAAACCTTACAAATAGAATGAGTGTGGAAAATCTTTTAACCAAAGCCCACACTTCACCGCTCATCAGACAGTCCAGGCTGGAGAGAAACAATTTCTATGTGATACATGTGGCAAAGATTTCAGTCAGAAATAAAATCTTAGTGGGCTGGGGATTTAGCTCAAAAAAAAAAAAGAAAATCTTAGCATCACTGGAGAGAAACTTTACTAATGTAATGAACGTGGGAAAGTCTTTAATCATATCTCTCAAATTGCATAACATCGGCGAATTCGTGCTGGGCAGAAACCTTTCAAATGTTATGAATGTGGCAAAGTCTTTAATCAGAAATCACACTTTATACGCCATCAGACAATTCATACTGGTGAGAAACCTTACAAATGTAATGAATGTGGCAAGGTCTTCAGTCTCAAGTCATACCTAGCAAATCATCAGCAAATGCATTCTGGAGAGAAATTTTTTTTTTAGCAAAACTTTTATTGGTACGTTTTAGATATACATAATGATAACACTCATCATAGGGAATTTGCACCTGTATATCATATATCCTGCCTCTTCTTTTTCCCATTCCCCCCTCCTCAGCCCTCCCTCTCCTCCCTATATGCAAAAGCTTTCTTTCCATTTTTTCCTTCTATTTTTACTTTTTTCCTTATCCCTTCCTTCCTTTCTCCTTCTCCCCTCCCTTGCTCCCTTTCTCATTTGAACATTTTCTTCCCATTTCCCAGTGTCTGGAGAGAAATCTTAGAAATGTAATGAATGTGGCAAGGTGTTCAGTCGCAGTTCCCACCTTACACATCATTGTAGCATTCATTCTAAAGAAAACCCTTACAAATGTAACAAATATGGCAGTGTTCAGTCTAAACTCATTCCTACCACATCATCTGAGATTTCATACTTAAGAAAAGCCTTGGTAATGTAATGAATGTGCCAAGATCTTGAGTCAGATTTGACACTTTTTACAC